AGAAATTCTAATTTTTTAATTCAATGAACCAACTGTCGGGACACTTGCGTATTGAAAGAAAAAATTGTACAAATATAATACAAATATTTGTATTCGATTAATATATTGTAAGAATCTTATAATAATCGATCTATATATCAAAAGTTCAAACAGTCTAACCAACGACTTACTTTAATTTATATTCGTTTTAAAAATAATATTTGATTATAGTTGTGAATAATGAAAATTTTTAATTGAAAAAAAAAAAAAAAAAAAATACGTCAAAGATTAGCTAATAAAATTTTTCGATGTTACACATTTCTTTTTATCACGGGGGTATCGCATTCCTTGACATCATCGGTGTTCGTATGACTAACGTGTTCCTCTATCTCAAAGAAAACGTCGAGTTGGTAGCAACGAAGAGAACGCTAACCTGGCTCTCTCGTAGTTGGACGAGCCAGTAACAGAAACGGCACACGGAGTACAATCACGCTCTCTTTCTCTCTCTCTTTCTCTCTCCTATTCTGTCTTTATTTCTTTTTCTTTCTCTCTTTCTCTCTTCTTTACCGATGACTCAGGCTACGATATCGTCGTGCCGTGTATTTGGGTTGTAATGCGCACTCGATGAGTCGCTTCGAGCAAATTTGAGAAATGCCAAGAGAGAAAACGCGCGAATAAGTAATATTAAACTTCAACGAAATTCCCTCTTAAATTCTATTAAATCTTCTTCTCTTTGTTTCCTAATCTCTCTTACCGTTCAATCGAATTTTCGAACGATCAAAATCAACCCTAAAAAAAAGTTACGAACAAAATTTTGAAACCGTCGCCAGGATGAATTTGATTTCTTGCCCGAAGGAAATTTTATATAACATTTATGAAAGTAAATTTGATATAAATATTGTCAGTCAACTGTTTGCTTAACATCAAAATCTATTTTTGTATTATCTATCTCTCTATCGTTAATTGGAATTTTCTAACGATCGAGATCAATCCTTCAAAATTGCGGATGAAATTTTAGGCGCCTAACATGATGCAAGGAATTTACTTTTAATATTATTTTAGGTTCTAACAATTGATAATACTTAATTTTGTTAAGATATAATAATACAATTAATAGAAATTTTGTTCATACAACGTTTAAGGGTTGATCCTGATCATTCAAATATTCGATTATAAAACGGATCAATTTTATCTCGTATGCTTCTTAATTACTATAACAAACCAACTACTTATCTTGGAATGAAATTACATCTTTGCTTACTTTTAAGGGTTAAGATCTTGACTTGTAGGGATTAGTCATTTTTGAAGTTATGAATCATTCGCCTTATTGTCATTCTTTCAAAAGAACGAACGTGTTTATCCGTTTTTTCCCGTCAAAACAAAAACTAACCCTTTCGGTTTACCTGTTTAAGCGATGACGAATCTTTTTTGCGATTGGTTAAAATGAAATAAAAAAAAAAAAAATTTTATCTATCTACCACAGTCGCAAGCTAAATATCTAAAATGAGTCATTTAACAAATATGCAAACAAATTCTATATTTAATTTTCTTATCGATCTATAATAAGCAACATAAAATTAAATAAAAATAGTATAATTTGTTTTAAAATTAATACGAAATTTGCTGGTTTTTTTTCGTTTTTTTTAAATGATAGTTTTTCTATATCAGAATTGTCTAAACAATATTACATATGTAAATAATTAAATTTCTTATATATATATTTTTAAATTTTTTCCACACATTACAAATGGAATGCAAGTCAAATAAAAATATTTTACTAATTGAATAAATAATTATAAAATTATAGTATTAGCAATTATTTTCCATAATTTAGAAAAGTCTGAAAAAATTCACGGGTCACGAGTACGTCATCGTCTGACCCCTAGTGCATAATAAAAGAAACAATACATCAATTAGCAGTCATCATTTTATTCCCAAAATGAACGAGAATAACATTTATGATTTCTTATATAGAAAATACAATTGCTATTTTGATACGAGGATTAATAAGCAAAGAACGATTATGGCTTACGTGTCGGGGGAATTATATATAGTATACGTCATCGATGATCGTGATAAGAAAAGGAAATAAAAAAATAAAAAAGGAAAAACCATGTGGGCCGTTCTGGTCGCCGAGTGCACAGATCCGAAACACGTTATTATAATTCAGGGGGAAAAAAAAAGAAAAAGAACAAATTTATAAATAATTCGTGTATCATGGTTTCCTCTTATTCTTTTCTTTTACATTTCAACGTGCAACACAAAAGAATGAAAAAGAAAGAATATATTATAGTTCGCATAATATCGAACATTTTCGTTTCGTCGACCATAATCAATTTTTCGTTCTATCGATTAGATGATTGGATAAGAATAGATCATGTATAATTTTCGAAAAGACGAATAGTATAATATATAGTAACAGAAAAGCAACTCTTTAGGATGGTTTGCTGAGAAAGAAAAAAGAGGAAAGATGAAGGGTTAAAGAAGAGGAAAAAAGGTGGGGAGGGTGAGGTGGGGTGGGGGGATAGCACGCACAATGTAATTTGCATTCTTTCTATTTACAATATGCCGCCGCGTGACACTGCGACCCTGGACACGAAAGGGGTCACTAAGTGGATCATAGGTATATCTATAAAGTAGAAATAATTCTCTTCAGTTAGAACGAAAGAAAAAGTAAAATAGAAAAATAAAAAAGTTACCTAGAAAGAAAAAGGGTTGTCGTTATGTAATCGCGAATGATATGCATTTTTATCGAATATTAAAATCAGGCCAATGTTCGGTATAGAAAAGAAATAAATGTATGACTCGTCTAGTTTCTATTTTAATAAGCTTCTCATTATCGTTTCGTGGAATAAACTGTGAACAATAATTATCTTGAATTCCAATAACGAATACTTCTTTACGTGATTTTTTTTTTTTCTTTCTTTTTCATTTTTTTCCTGTTTATCTTTTCACCTTCTTTTTCATCTTCTTTTTCATGATTTATGATTTATGATTGATAAATAGCGTTGCAATATAAGCACATAATATTATATGTGGTGTGTGTGTACGATGAAGTACAGAAAGTCTAGAAATTTTGCGAAACATAGGAAGTAGGTGTGTTCTTCTATGAACAGATAGGAAAGAGAATAAAGATAATTAGTGTTCGTGGAGTTAGTATCAAGCCGTGATCCATCGATTTCCTATTTAAAGTCAACGATATTTACTGCGCAACGAAGAATAATAGGAAATCGTCATTCTTTAAATAAGTATAGTATCTAAAATAAGTGCATACAAATTTCAAGTGTTTTATGATGAATCCTTAGAGAACGTTAATTTTAATAGGCTTTCATAAAATATATATGGTCGAGAAGAATGTATATCACGTATGATATAAAAATGAAAAAAAGAAGGGGGTGAAAGATTTTCGGGAGTTGCGTGTAGGTATATATACTTTTATATATACTTTCTCAAGATACTTTTTTGAAATCTGGTGTTCACGTATGTTTCCCCCAACGTGTATACCGTCTGGCAAACCTGTTCTCTCAACAGGCCAATGGACAGACGTGTAACGTACTTGCTTACTTACTTACTTTGATGAGAGACCGTTACGTAGGATGATACCGTGCGAACGGCTCATTCGCGAACGGTTGATATAAATATCAATCGAGATACATATTTAAATATGTAAACATGGGGAATACGTAAATTCCGAAAAAGGAAAATTAGAGGCTAGCTTGCTTAATATGTCGAATCAAAAAATTCACGCGGAACTTGTTTCCATTTTATTTCTCTAATCGTTGATATTATATATATACATTTATATATGTTCCATTGTCCTAGAGTGGTAAGTATCAGAGATTGTATTACTAGAATAAAAAGAATTATAAAAAGTTACTGTATGTTTGATTTTACAAGAAGCTGATCGAACATCTCGAACAAAAAGATTTATGCGATACTTTATTCGATTATATTTCAAATTATATTCTTAGTTATTTAAACTTTCAATAAGATATATGTATATCTATGATATGCTTCATCGTCTTACAATGTAAAATAGGAAGAACTATAGATTTAAATGCGATTAAAGTTAAAATTAGCAAATAGTTTTAGAAATACAGGATATAATCCTATTCATGTGTATCGGAAGCCCGTCAAAGAGAAAGAAAAAGAAAAAGAGAGGAAGTTTCGCCATGCCTACGGTGAAACGATCATCGTCTGGGACAGTTTGGGGTTGGTGGCCGGGTGGCAAGAGGGAGAGAGAAAGAAACAGAAGAGGGAAGGCCGTCGGCCGAACAGTAGGGAGGGAGAAAAGGGGGCATGAGAGTGACTCATCGTCGAGCCAGGCCAGGCCTTACGAGCTGCAGGTCAGGAGAGGAAGACACTTTTAGCCCACATTTCTTGCCCGTTTCTCCTCTCCTCTCCTCTCTCTCTCTCCTCTCCTCTCTCTCCGATCTCTAGCAACGTTTCCTTATTTTTACCCTAACCGTTTATATAGCACAGGGTGTATGATTCTCCTACCTCCCTCTTTCTCACGCGTATTTTCTTTCCCTCTCCTTATACTTTTCATCTTTTTTTTTTTTTTAGCTTCTCCATCTTCTTCTTCTTCTTCTTCTTCTTCTTCGTCGAACCTTTCATAGTAGGCACGTCGTCGTAATTCGTTCGCGTTAGAGTTAGAGAACTCTCTCGGCCCACGGAAGTGTCGCACGTGAACCTGCAAGAAAACAGCTTTATCGCTTTCGTAGTTTATGAGAAATCGTTCGTAGAACGATCCCGTTTTCTACTTGCGGAACTAGTCGAATGAATCATGCCATTGTATTCCTCCTCAGGCTCTCGACATATTGACGAGAAATAAATAAAGGAAAGAGAAAAAGGAAAGCGTTGCTTATTCTCTTCTTTTTTTTTTGTTTTTTTTTAACTTCCTTTACACGCGAAACTATATCTTCGTTCTCGGAAATATATAATCGATAAACTAATCAAAGAGAGCAACAACTTCCATTGGTTCATTCGTAATGTAACGCTATTATCATTTTTATTTACAGGTGGACACAAAGAGTTCCACAGGCGCCATCGCGAACTTTGCGAGGACACGCTTTTACCATCCGGTGGTACCGGTAGCGGTTCTTCCGCAACCGTCAGCGGTTGTCCAAGTCCTGGTCCAGGTTGTTCGGTATTAAGTCTTTCGGGGCCACCGACGCCACAACCGGCTGACATCGATAGCCATCCTGCGTCCCGCGTTTTACCTTTTCTTTACCTTGGCAATGGCAAAGATGCTGCCGATCTTCAACTCCTACGAGCCCTAGGGGCTACTAGGGTATTAAACGTTACCTCTCAACTGCCAGGATATCACGAGGAAAGGGGAATTACCTACAGGCAGATACCTGCGTCGGATTCCGGTCATCAAAATCTCAAGCAGTACTTCGAGGAAGCCTTTGACTTTATCGGTTAGTTGACTTCTCTTTTAATTATAATCGACTACTCGAATTACTAAACTTTAGAGCTTCTATAAGAAGCTTATGATAAATCTTATAAGGTGTGATCATTCGTCCAGAATGAACGACTTTTTAACGTCTCTCGATGAGTAATTCTTTCGGTCCGATAGGTGTGTCACATGGACATTAGTCGTCACTACCGGTGATACTCTCATAAATCTTTATTCTATCTCATTCTCGCATGTTCTTACAAATATATCTATAGAGTATACTAAAGTGATTCTATTGGGTTGGTCAATAAGTAATTAGGTAGTAATAGTATAACATGATATTCTATTGGGTTACTCTAATGTTCAGTAAATAATACTAGTATTATTTATTAGCCAAGCAACAATATCAATAAAACAATTCTAACAACTTCCCCGTTTGCCAAGATTCAATTTAAACAATTTCATGTTCGTACTACGTAGCATAAAAATTTGGTCGTTTTTAATAGCATCCGTCAGCTGTTTCTTTCATCCCCTTCTTTGAGAAAATAAGGCAAAGCGTTTTTGTAAGGGACACAATATATCCTCGGTGAAAGTCGGAAACGCGTTCCACTCGTTTTATAGGACGTGCAAGAGAGGGGTCCGAACGTTTTTCGGTCCCCTCAATCGGCCTCCAGGTACAACATTCCACCAGTTGCACATACTCTGTGAAAGGGAGAAGGGCAGTCTCCCCATGCTGCTCCAGCATAAGTATGTATACCCTCGAACCAGACTACACAAACAACCCCTGTCTTTCTACTACGTCCTCGCACACGCGGTGATTGTTCCTGACGTTTCTCCTGTTATACAGGCTGATTCATACGAGATCAACCCTCTTATCATCTAAGTACCAAAGGGGGGTAGAATTTCGCAATAAAAAAATACCCTACCCTATTAAAAACTATTATAATAGTTGATGCTTCTTAACGAATCGTTACGATCGAATGATTATTCAAACGAATCATTAAAAGAATTTACAAATGTTGTGACAGAGTCAATCAATTATTGTCTTATTCGCCTTGTAGAGTTTCGTAATAGTCTTGAGTTAACGAGTATAATCGCTAAATGCATTGCTTTACGACGTTAGTGAGTCGTCGTTGTCGTTGTCGTAAAAGGATTAACAGCATATTCTTGATATTTCTTTAAATATCATATGGTAAAGATAATAAAAGTAATATCGTCATTTCTATTGCATAAACAGATGGATGGATAGATAGATAAATAGGAAAAGAAAGAAGAGAGATATAAAAAAAAAAAAAAAGAAAAAAGGCAAAAGAGGATGCATCGAGTTTGCATCAGCCTGTATTCATCTCTCCGTGTGTATACCAACTGTGCGCGATATAAAGAGCCCACACGCGTTCACGCACTGACATCAGTGAGCAAGAGTGAGAAAAAGAGAAGAGGGGGATGAAGAGGAAGAGAAAGAAAAAGAGAAAGAGAAAGATAGACAGAACGGGTCTCTCGGCGTTCACGGCTGTGCACGCATGTGAGTCATGGTTTCATGAATGGAAGCCTTTCGTCTTCAGCTCTCTGCATGGTGAATGGTCCACCGGAAACGGCTGGTTACACCCTGTTTCCGTTATACCGAAGTACGTCGCGTAACGCGATCGAGGTCTGCCCGAGATATGCTTGTTTCTTTTTCGAATAAAGACCTTTTTTACGAACTATTATTATTATTATTATTATTATTATTATTATTATTATTATTATTATTATTATTATTATTATTATTATGGTCATCATCATTTGATTATAATCTCAATTAATTCCTGTTCTTATAAAAAACGCAATGGTAATTAATCGTCATTATAGATATAATTCGTTTTAACGTCCGTTAAAATCGTCGTTTGATTAGTTTTATGGCCTGCAAGCTTAGCTACGGTGACTTGACACCCTTTCCAAAGTTTCAGTAACAAAATCGTGGAAGTATAATCAGATATGGGAAATAAGGGAGGGAGGCTTCGATTACCTGAAATCCGGCACTTAGGTGCGTAATAGTGGCACGACAGGTATCCCCGGTACGCGTAGTTTGCCGCTATTTCATTAGACGTGTTTGCCTTCTGATGTTTTGCCCCTTTCCTGTTAGTCGTTGTTCTCTCTCTCTCCCTCCCTCTCTTCATTTCTCCCTTCTCTTGTGTTAACCCTCTTTCTCTTTCTATTCGACCGCTCATTCTGACTCATGGCAGATGTGCTCGACGTATTCGCAAATGCGCATAAGAAGGGATAGTTCTCACACTCGGAAAAGTAAAACGTTATTATAAGGACTGACCTTATCTCGGTAAGCCACTGTGTTAACTTAAACCGGTATCACGTCAAACACCGGTGGATGATTTGTTAACGAATACAAAAATTCGTCTTTCCTTTAATCGCACCTTTTGTTTAAAAAATTTGTGTTTTGACCCAACGCGTCGACAAATCGACCTATTCATTTTACACGCTGAACAATAAGGTGATATACTTATATATCTCGTACCTAATTGGAATAAATATTAATTAAGAAATAATTTGTTTAATTTTCTATCGAAAATATTTTTGTCTATTTCGTAGGAATAGCTTTTTATCCTGCTACCATATATTTATCAAAATGAGTGTTAGAAAAATAAAAATGGAGTATAAGACGAGTTACGTATCAAGCAAAGAAATATGTAATAATAAGATCCTACCGGTGGTGGTCGGTCCAAAACAAAAAAAGAAAACAGAAAATCACTACCATCCTCGGAGTTTCTGATCTCGTAACATTTAATAATAAAAACGAAACCATGCATGAGGGAGAAAGAAGGAAAGAAAGAAAGAAAGAAAAAGAGGGAGAGTTACAGGCACCACTTTGTCTGGTGGTGCTGTTGCTGGCGGCCGTTGGCTGCTGCCTCCTCTCCTCCTTCTTTTGTGTTGAAAAAAGCGCATAGCGGGGTTACGCGTTAGTTTGTATATCCCGCGCCACGAGCACGATATAAATGTATACATAATAAATGTATATGTATTTGAGTAGAGAGAGTACGCGCGCACCACTCGTAAGGATCCGGGCAGTGACTCATTGCTGAGAGAGATACGATAGCGTCGTCCCCTCTATTGCATAACGGAATCGCCTGTTCAACTTGCGTTTGATGATCGTGTTCAATGTGTTGTTTACAACGCAATCTTACAATTAGTTCTCTCTACGCACTGCAAATAATAATTTTAAGATCATTCGTTTTTGCGATACATTCCCTAATAGAATAATAATGTAGATCGCGTTTCATTATTACTTATTTACAATTACATTGTTTTCCTAAGACAATTGATCTAATCATAATAAATTAACGCATTTTGCAATTTTGTTGATTTGTTTTAGAGGAAGCACGAAAAGCCGGTAGCAGCGTATTGGTTCACTGTCAGGCTGGTGTATCGCGTAGCGCAACGATTGCAATCGCTTACATTATGCGACATAAAGGTTTATCAATGGTCGAAGCATACAAATTGGTGAAAAACGCACGACCGATTATCAGTCCGAATTTAAACTTTATGGGGCAGCTTCTAGAATTAGAGCAGGGCCTAAGAGCGTCCGGTGGTGTTACTGGAACACAACAAACGGAAGAACCCAAGAGTTGCCATCAGTGTCGTTGGAGTCATCAGCAAAACAGTAGCGAGGAAGTCACTTCCGGTTGCAGCGTTTGAGAGAACGCAAGGCGCGTGTGCGCGCACACAAACATACCATACACGGTGGTACATACACGCAACACCTCGCAAAAAAAAAAAAAAGAAAAACGGACGGCACGCGAGCTCGTTGTTTTTGTTGTTATATATTATTATAACTGCTACTACAAATACTACTACTACTACTATTATTACTATTACTACTACTACTACTATTTTTAATATTATTATTATTATTATTACTATTATTATTATTATTATTATTATCCGTATTCCTTGGACGCAGGAACAACGACGATGCTCGTTCCATCGATTCGAAACGACGAAATTGTCTTTAAAGATAAGGACACCAAGCGTAAGAAAAACGGTACATATCCTAAACGTGCGAATTCATTGTTCTTCCTGTTATTTTTTTACCGGGAGAACTCGATTACCTTATTACCGTGCCTTGATGATCGCTCACTTTCCCCCCTCGAAATATGGGGAAAGGCCGATTTACAGACGATTTACTTATCTAACAACTAACTTATTGAGTGTATGAACGTTAGAAAGTAACAGACAGAAGTAAAAATAGCGATAGATCAAAGTATATGTATATATCTCTGATCTAACGAATGCCGAATTATGGAAACAAAAAATAATGAAAGAAACGACGGATATGAGAGAAAGAGAGAAAAAGAGTATATGTTTTTAATTATGAAATATTTATAAAATTGAAAAATGTGTGAGATTTATCAATCAGACGATAAACTTATAATTGCAAATAATCATTTATTATCTCAAGAGAGAAAGAGAGAGAGAAATTGAGAAAGAAATAGAGAAAGAAAGAAAAAAAAAAGAGGCAATTAATCATTTTTCCCTCTCTTTTCTTTTCTTTTTTTTCTTTCTTTTCTTTTAATTTCTACTCTTTTATATCTCATCTTATCAAGAACATATATGCTCTTTCATCTCAAGGTTAAACCTGTAAGTACTTATATACATAAGAAGTGTTCCGTGATACTACTACTCTCTTGATGCGTATGTCATATAAAAGTTTGACATTTCTCATGAAGACAAATTAAATGACATTGATTTTAGACCATTTTTGACAACATTTAATTGAAAATTTCAAGGTCTACGTATTTTTATCGAAAAATACTAAAAGAAACAAAAAAATAAGTTGTAAAAGAAAAAGAAAAACCACAAAGACTATTTTATAATGTACTTCGTTTTGGGGGATCGTTTTCGTAACGATCCATAAATATATCCAATTTTTCATACAACGGAGAAGATATTTGGTATTATTGTGGTATGCGATATACGTCTACCATAATGCTATAATTTTGATCGAATTATAATAATTTGTCTCTTTTTATTATTATTATTATTATTATTATTGTTATTATAATTATTAATATTTTCTTTTAGCTTTGTTCTTTCTTTTTTTTTTTTTTTTTTTTTTTTTTTTTTTTTTTTTTTTTTTTTTTTTTGTCTTCTCTTTTGTTTTATTTTCTTTTTTATTTTTTCCTATCATTTTTGCATTTTTCGTTTAATCACTCGTTTAACAAAAAAAAAAAATTGCAGGACAACGCTACTTGAAAATCTCCAGTTACGTAACAAAAAAATTCCGAAGAATAATTTATTTACGGAATATTATCTCGGAAAATGTGAAATTTCTTTGAGAATTTGTATGAAAGGTAGAAAAAAGAAGAGGTAGAGGGGGAAGAGTATAAAAGCACACACATACATACACACATTGAGAAGTTTCCAAATTAAAATCTTAAAAGGGACGGAGTCAAAGAGAAAAAGAGATAGCATTATTCTGGAAATAAATAATAAATTCGCATACGAGCTGAGAGACGATCATAAGAGAGCCGCGTTTAAGTTTTACGTTTTGCCTATTTGTACCTATATGTATTTCGTGCGTCGTCTATACACTAATTGATATAACGAAGTGGTTTATATTGGCTAAATAATATGTATATCGTTATAACCGAAAGATAAAAAAAAGCTTAGACATTTAAGCTCCTTAGCATTTAAGAATCTGGTTGTTGTTCAACCATCGTGATCTAGTCGTTTGTTGGGATAAATGGTATATATCCGTGTTAAATGAGCAGCATAGAAATAAAGAAAAAAGAGAGAGAGATAGAGAGAGAGAGAGAGAGAGAATTAGTGAGTTCCTTATCGAAATCGATTGCATTCAAAAATATCTATTACCGACAAAAATTTACTTTCTTTTTGTTTTTTTTTCTCATCTCTCTCGTTTGATGTAAAACCGTCTAGGTGAAAAATGAACATATATGTTGCGTTGGAATATACGTATTACGAATCTATTACGGGTACGTGGTGGTAGTCAGGATTAATCTTCATAAATGAAAACAAAGATTGTTTGAAAGAATACAAGTTAACTTTGTTCGCTCGAACCACGAGAAGAAAAAGAAGAAGAAGAAGAAGAAGAAATAGAAGAAGAAGAAGAAAAATAATAATAATAATTAAATATGTATATAAATGCTTTCGTAACGGCATATACATATTTCGTATATTGTAGATGATATTATATTATTATCTAATCGTAAGATGAAATGAAATCATCGAAATTTATACGCAAATAAGTTCCTCCAACTTCGATCATCGGAATTAGAAAAGAATCCAATTGAAATGGGATTCCTTTTTTAGGAATACTATTTATTAAAACAATCTCTCTCGCTTAAATGTAAGATTAAGCAACTGTACAGGATGATATATATATATATATATATATATATATATATATATGTATATCATTCTTATAGAGTCTCGTTGTTATTAACGATGACTCCATCACAGACAATAAAATTGAAAGTGGAAGAGTTCCTCCGATTTCGTCTCTAATATTCGCAACGGTACATATCAAGGATACGTCGCCTTTTTCATAGAAAACTGAGAACTGTGTTTAACAATAAGATAAAGTGAAGAGGAGCACAAAATTAGTGATTCATACGTATTTATATATGTCTCTAAGTCGTCGTCATATTTTATTATTATTATTATTATTATTAATATTATTACTATTAATATGATTATTATATTATAATTATTAATATCCTTTTTTTTCTCTATAAAATGAAACTATGTAAATACATGGACCACGCATACACGCGTGGATTAGATATATCGAAAAACAGTTTTAAAGAGTGTAAGAATAAAGGGTAAAATGATAAAATGAAAGAAAGACATTAAGATATGTCGACAGATGTGTTGATAGAAGGAAAAAAATAGTACCTGTTGCATCATGAGGATGTATGTATGTAGGGTTTATCGAATATAGTGGGAAAATATTAACAATAAACTTGTATATCAGCATGCGATAAAAATACGAGGAATGGCGTTACTATTGATAACCATGTTCTCTTGAACCATCCACGAAATATTTTTATTGTACGTTAATATATCTTTTTATTGCTAGTATCTTTCTGCATCTTAATGCACATGTTAAAATTTGCTTGCACTATACGTCATTAAAGTAGATTATATATGTACTATTCACGGCACGCACACTTTAAGGAAGGGTATGCACCGTGATGGTTGATATAAGGAAATCCTTATAAATCGGATCCCAACGACTTTATAATGTACAGCTATACGTAGTGATTGATAGTAAAAAAAAAAAACCATAAACAGCTTAGTATGTAATTTATGCGTAAAAATGCGTGCAAGTATTGTATCATATCAAAATTTATTTAGTTATTTTATGAATAAAAATGCAAATTGAAAGTTCATATTTATCTGAACTATCCCTAAATATATATATTCATATATATATATATATATGATAAAAAAATAAAACAGTATCCTTTTGTGACTTGTACCTGCCTTACACACACATTACCAATTTTCAAGAAGATATTAAAAGGTTTGGGATATGGTTATTTAACGAATCTTTTGCTTCATTCGTCCATCGCATTATTCGAGAATGATTTATTCGATTTAATTTTATTTGTAAAATCATTTCCATCCATGCACTACACGCCTTATAATCAATTTTTAGTTCTTAAGTACTAAGACTGCCTAGTGCGATCCTATAGAGAAAGAAATAAGTAAATATATAGTAGGATTTACTAATCTTTTTAACCGAAGCGTATATATAACAAAAAAGAAGAAAAAACAATCATATTAAATTTAAAGATCAGTATTTTAGAAAGATACTCATTATAACAAAGCGTTTTTAGTACAATCTTCTTTACATTGATATCTACACGTAAAGATTATATTTAAAAAGAATAGACAATTACTTTTTTGTTTTGCTTGGATATTTTAGCTAGTAATTCGTAACACTAGCTCGAAGCGTCAAATAAAACGATTATTGTGCATATAATGAAATCATACAATAGAATCGACGCATACTTCCACCTTCTTTTAATTCATTGTCCTTATCATATAAAAATTACTGGCATTTTCAGTCTCCTGCTTTACAATTATGCTTAAGACAAAATTTAAACTAAATAACAAGATTAATAACTATAACGTATACTAACTAAAAGTTATGTCAATTAACTTATTTATTCTTTTTAATTCGATACATATATCCAATATATATATTGAATTAAAAAAAAATTAATATATATATATATAGCTGTATTTATATACATCGCGAAATTGTTTTCAGATAATTTAATATAAACAAATACGATTTCTCTAATCCTTTTTTTGATACCTAATACAATATATTTAAATGCTTTGTAGCCGACATAGAATTGTCAGTTATGTGCTGTTCTTTTTATATACATACATTCGATCGCTCGCATAAATTCTTAACTGACGTTTTTAAAAGTGCTTTGATATATCATATAGCATTTCTTTATCACAAGCGGTCAAGCGTTCCATCTTTCTTTAATTTTGCTTAATTAATAAAGAAAAGTTGTGTGTGAACAACTTGATTTAATAATTTTTTTTGTTTATTAAATCATTATTACACGCTTAACCGAAGAGCTAATTTTATTGGAAAGTTTAACGACCGACCATAAATATTCTGAATCACGTTTATTCGCGCGTAGGTAGAAAACTTACATAAACATCTAAATAGATCGTAACCGGTATCTTTTATAGTATAAAAGATTTCATGTGGTGCATTACAATTAACGTTACGTCACAATACTTACCAACGTTTCTTAGTCGCATAAAACATGTGAAACACGAATATATCCTATCATTATTAATTTGATACTCTTCTTAAAAAAAGAGTAATAACATTAAACGGAAATTGCAGCACCTTTCATAAAGTCTCATTCTTTTACATAAAGTTGTTCCTTTTGCCAGAACCGTTCATCGTTTAAATTCTTTTTTAAAGCTATAACTAAGAATGAAGGATGAAACTTTGCTACATAAAGGAACATATGTAATTAAACAAAATGAGGAGAGAAACATATTCGACACTTATAATCTATAAAATATAAACTGTATATATAAACAGTATTAAAAGTGCACAAGATATCTACGTTAGAATTTATAATATATGCCATATAAGCAAGATAGAGAATGTCTATGACAAGAAAAACTAACAAACTGTGACTTTTTTTGTTTCTTGCCAAAAAATGTACAATATATCTGATTCTACTTCTTTAGTTTCATGGCTTACCCTGACGATACAGAATTCGTAATTATATTTCAAAGTACACTCTTCTATAAGAGTTAACATCATTAAGTCACTCTTTCTTTCTTTCTTCTTTTTTCTTTTTTAATTACTTTATAAACTAGAATTATATTTAGTTTATTAATTATGCGTAAATTCTAGAATAATTTGAAAGGTCGATAATGAATGGGATTAACATGCAGAAAAAAAAATTAGTTGCTTGCTAAAGCTGCCATCGCCCGAATCAGTGCTGCGTTTTCTTCACGAAGACGTTCTCGTTCTATTGCCATTTCGTGTTGTTGCTGTAAAATACGAGCCTCTAGTGCCATTATTTTATGATCACGGTCTTCCAACAGTGATAAAAGCCTTCTGTTTTCTTCTTGAGCACGTTCAATTAACTACAAATTTTTATATATGGCATAAAAATATATATATATTTTAAAAAAAAATACATCTTTGTAAAAATCTTATCACTACTTCTTGATTATCTTGATAAAAACTCATGATTACTTACTTCATGTGGATTATCTCCCGTAGGTGTGGGTAATCGTCTATTTGTTATATTTAATGAAGTTTGTGGCTCGTGATTTGTGTGGTCAGATTGATTGACACTGTCTGACTGGTTTAAAGAGTCAAATTCTTCATCGTCTGCTTCTAAATCTGAGTGACTAAAACAAAAATATTATTTATTTAAATGTATACAGTATTTAAAAACACAATGATTGGATGATGACTAAAAACAATATATTAGACACGACCCTTTCTGAATACGCATATATATATACATATTATATTCGTAAATATATTTCGCATATAATTATAATTTATGAAAATTATTGAATATTATAGTATAGACATTTGTATGGTCACAGTACTAATACATTTTCTATATGTATTTAATACTCAATATAAACTTTCAATCTTACTCATTTATTGATACTCAATATGGAATTGCGTTATTATCAAAGTCTACTAGCATTACCGCAATTCATACAAGTTATGCCTAATTGTACGTTTTGATGTACAGTAGTGCACTTACCAACTGTGTTTAATTAAACATGACCTGTATGAAGTACGGTAATGCCTAAAAAGCAGTAGCAATTGATTACAAATAACTATTTGAAAATGCTACTCTATAACCACACACAAAATAAAACATACCTTTTATTTCGCCTTTGGGTATACATTTTAACAGTCCGTTCCTGTAACACATACATAATTAGGATATAAACAAACAAACGTTATAAGAAAAATAATATGTGCTAATACTATTAGATTAAATTACAGTTATATTATTAACAAGAATATTGCATTAATGTTAACTGAAATTCGATTTTAGATACTCACTTCAATGAGTTCATGATCAAGGAACTCATTATGATGTGTATTATTTTTTGTTTCAAGACAAGTACCACTGAGTTCTTCTTCATCTTCTCCTGTACTTCCTCCTGTACTCTGCAGAAGCAAATAACTAAAAGGATTATACTAAAGCAAAAAAAGAAATTTCAACTAGAAAAACACTACTGCAACGGAAATGGAGTTGCATTAATATGTGCAAATCTAACTATTAAGATTAATATTAATTTTTATTCAATATTTAAGCGGTTTCTGATGCTTAAAAAAATATGTTACCGTAAAAACACATTAATAAAATTAATAGCTGTAAAATATAGAATGAAATATTTAATCCTGTAAATGTGCACTGCATGAAAACTTTTCCAATAATCAATGCAAACATGCCAAACATAAATAGGTATTAAATTTGGAACAACTAAAAACAAATGGTACACATTCAATAAATTAATATTAAGAAGTATGAGATTGTGGATGTGTGTATGCAGACATCAGGGCCAAGGCACGACAAACCAAGTTTCAAAGAGTGACAAACCTCTGTCGATGGTAAATGCACAACTCCAGTACTTCGTCTTTTTTCTCTGAGTTTCCGCCGATCGCGTTGCTGCTTTCCCTTGTTTATATGCGTTGGCCTATGCAAACAGGATACGACACTAAAGACACTAGAACCAGATCCAGAAAGTATTAGCAAAATATACGAAATTCTACTATCGATCTATTGGCTAGCAGTGGATGCTCAAACAAGAGTGACTTCGACTATCTTGAATAGATTGCGAAAGCAATTATATTCATAAAACTCACCGGCCAGTCACACGCTTGTCCTGTTTCCTCATAATGGGTTTATTTTGTTGACCATCGTGTTCCGGTGGAAGTACATTATTTGAACTGGAATCGCATATACCTTGTGATTCTTCGGAATCTGGTGCACTTTCTTTAAATAAAAAAAGCATTTAGAATTTTAATAAAAAGATAATAAAATAATAAATGTAAATACAACAGAGTGAAATTGACAAACTTTGAAAAGTTATAGTAGCTGTATCTCCTGTCCTAGGTGGTCCAACTCGGGCCCTAGCAGTTCGGATTCTAGATCTTCTTGATGTTAATTCGAAGTCATTATCGAAATCCTCTTGACTAACTGAGCTTGATGCCATGCCTGTGACGTCGCTGAAATTCAAAATCACTAATGACTTCTGTTTTATATTATTAATTAATTTTGCAACGAATATGCAAACAAGATAAAAAGGGGTCTTACAAAAAATACCTGGACATCTGAACAAAGGATAGGTGATGTTGTGCTATACTTGCTGTTGATCAGCAGAAAAGTTGGATGCCAAAAAGCAAGTGGTTGCTTAGATTATCTAAAGGAAATTCATAAGGTATGAATTGCTTTTAACTACGAGTGTGTATGAGTGCGCGTGCAAATGCAGATAAATTAATTTACATCTAATCACGACAATTACTTTCTACTTAATCACCTGTCGCACTGTGTTATCTTCGTCAAATCCAATGATAATGCTGTGACTCACTACCAACCTATGCACAATTGACAGCTGTCAACCACCAAGAAACCCATAAACACGTATGGTTCGCAACGATTATACAGTATAAAGATAGATAAGCGTATTGATCGCCGTTACACTTTACCTTAAGTATAGTTTTCATTTATACTTTTCTATACTATTCGTATCAATATAAATTTTATAAAACGCCAAAGACAAATCATCTCTTAACGCTTATCAAAATAAAAATATTCTATTAACTTCAACGAAATTAATCAAATATTAACAACACGCGTAAACGGACAAAAAAATTGACATTTTAAACAATCACATTTTAACCAATACAAATTCAAGACACTAGTAACTAATGACAAGTTTCTAGAATAATTTGAACCTATATATGCAACCCTGATGCAACAAAAATTCTGCACTTTTATTGGTTGTTTAATCCTATTTCGAAAAAATATAAAATAATATTACACGTGTTCATTTTTGCAAAAAAATAATTATACATTTATTTAATTATTTTCTTGTACAAATTTAAATATTTAAAATAACTATTTTTAATTAAATATTTACATACGTTTAATATGCAAAATGTATGGCTATGATATAATCTTGAATGCAACTCAATGTTGAATGGAAGCACGTGTTTATAAAATTAGTGACAAACATGTAATTAATTTCTACAATATTCAAATATTTATTGTAAACCCCAGTGACTGAGCAATAGAACAATCTTATTTATTCTTAATTATATACTTTTATTCACAACTAATTTAATATTTTAAAAAACATTAGAAAATTTTAATATGGAAGTGAAACGTAAAATAGAACTTGACAATAAGTGTTATAAAGCTTCTGAAAAATATTGGGATCGCATTCCTCCTACTATTAATGGAATGCTAGGTGGTTTTGGATTTTTGTCAGGACAGGAGATAGATGGTTCATCAAAATTTCTATCTTCATTATTTAAGGTATAATCTATAGAATGACCAATAATTTTCTTTTACATATTAAAATTTTTAAGAAAATAAAAAATGCTTTATTTTAAATACTTGTTGATGATTTCAGTTAGAAAATCCACCTTCAAGGCAACATGCATTAGACTGTGGTGCTGGGATTGGTCGTGTAACGAAAAAGTTATTAATAAAATATTTTGAAAATGTTGACTTATTAGAACAGAATCCAAAATTTATTGAATCTGCAAAAACATATTTAAGAAATAATATCTCAAGAATAGGCTTCCATTGTAGTGGTAATATTTAAATGATCAATGTATACAAACAAAATTTTAATTCATACATTAAGTATTGTATAATTTTTTGTATAAATTATTTAAGCGCTACAAAACTTTCATCCAACGCCACAGAAGTATGATGTTATTTGGTGCCAATGGGTTCTAGGTTATATTAATGATGAACATTTAGTGGGATTTCTCAAAAATTGTGTGTAAGTTTAAATATATTTGAGAAATAAATATTAATACTGTTTTTATATATTATAAAATGATGATACATGTCTGCAGGTCAGGTTTGAAAAAGGAAGGTGTATTAGTTGTAAAAGAGAATGTAACTAGATCTGATGTTTTGGAGTTCGATAAAACAGATTCTTCTATAACAAGACCTTATAAGGATTTAGTAGGTATATTTGACAAAGCTGGTTTGATTTGTATACAAAGGAAGTTGCAAAAGCATATGCCTCTTGGTTTATATCCAGTTTATATGTTTGCTCTTAAACCAAAAAATGAATCGGTGCAAACAGAATAATTAATAATAGAGTAATAGATATAGAAAATTTTTTTTTTATATTACTTTCTTATCCTTTATGTACATTTTTTTAATAAAAATAACTTTTTAATTGAAATAAATCAAAATGAAATAAAATTAAGCAAATTAAGCGAGTATTAAAACTTCTATTTTTGATGTAACGACAAATGAAACATTAAATTCTTAATCAATCTAACACTTGTGTTTGATGATGCTGTAACAAAAAAACTAATATAGACTTTATTTTGTGCTATGAGCAAGTTATATAAAATTATCTCAAAACTCAATGTGTGTAATAAACAAGATATTTTTTAATATAAAAAAATGCTTTTTATTTAGGTCGTATTTTTTCATACATAAATCGTTGATTACTATCTTGAGGAGAAGCACCTATGAGACGCTTTTTAACAGCATGAAAATGAGTCAAAGCGAAATTGTATAATTCATTTTCCATTTTCCAAACAACTGTTTTTTGAATTTTTTCAACTGTTTCCGGTAACGGATCAATTTTCTGCGTAGTTTGTCGTAAATGCGATCTGTTATCTGAAAATATTATTATATTTTACATGCTTAACGATAAAATATCAATAGATAAATTTAAATCATAAACATTTATCATTATCTTACTGTGTAAAAATGATTCGTATGCTCCTTTAAAGAATTTTGGTAATATAATCTGTAAAATTTGTACAAATTCTGCTAATTCTTCGGTAACGCCTACTAAAAGATAGTGCCTTTGTAAATTTCTCTTAGCTTCTTCTAATGCCCATTTATTTCCAACTTCCCTATTGTTAAATAAAAATTTTAAATAAACGTTCACATATATTTTCACATTAGAACCTTACCAACAGGCTGGATCGTGACCACATAAAAAAGGAATTTGAAGCCACATATTATTAGGATCGCAGTCAGGTTGACCAATATTGACGCATTCATCGAACGTCTACAACGATAATATTTAATTATTTACTAATCATTTTGCACAATATAAATTTAAAAATGATTTATTAACTGACTTTAGTATCGCCATGTTTTTTTCTTATTAGATGAGGCCTAAAATTATCACCATATCTTAAAAAATAATAATAAGATACAAATCTGTCTAAAGGTTTGCGTAATATATTTATGTAAAAAGGGGTTTGTTTTACACCAAATCTGAAAGAATAAAACTTTCTCTGTTAATTAAACTTATTAAAATAAATATGTGAACCTTACCATTTATATATTTGTTTAGATATATAATATATAACTTACTTTTCAAAATTTAAAAATGCCATATGCCCGTGATAAAATGCTGGCATTATTGTATTCCATCTTGATATATTATTTACAAATTGAAGCTAGGATTGAAACAAAAATTTAAAAATAATTTTATATACAAAAAGTACAAGAGAAAAAAGAAAATCAAGTAATTATTTTAATGTTGAATACCTGATTGAAAAGTGTAAGCGTATGCATGTTATTAGTAACATTAATATGTAAAACATGATATTTGTTTTGTTTGCACAAATCATAAACCAAACCCACAAAACTTGTAGAGGCTGTCTTTGGTACTCTGTTATATATAATAACAACTTCGTCATAACTAGTTGGTTTGTACAATCGTACATCAGATTTTACTTTATTATCTTTAATTTCATTTTGAACTTGTACAACGGCATCGTCTGGAAGTACGAATGGATACTCTATGTTATTCCATCACCTTTAACAAAATTAAATATTAACAAAATACACTTGTTAGTAATTTAGAAAAGTTAGGACAAAAATGTAGCGCATACGTAGTGTTTGGTAGTTTTCTTCTAAAAAATTTATTCTCAATTTCAAATAGAGAATTATAACGGTTAATATTAACATCAGAATCCATTGGGGCGTAAAATTTCTTAGTATCATTTTTCCCTCGTTCTATAGCATTATACACATTTTAAATATAATGTTAAGATGACAGAAGACTTTACGAAATTAATATTGTAATCAAATTTTAAATTATTCCGAATAGTTCAAAAGAAATTTCACAAGGTTTACATTAGAAAACCTAACTCACATTGCATATTATATCGTAATACGTATGCACTAAATTGTGTATGTATATCACGAGTACGTACATTATTTTCGATACATCGAAACAATAATTCGATATTTTTCAAAAAGATCGATATCGATATTCAAATGTACGTCTAGTATTATCGATAACTCTATCGATATAATTGAAACTAGGAATAATATTTACAGTTTTATTTTCGATGTTGTATACTATACAAGTTAATATATATTTTTGTTTATAAAATAAATTTAACAAAGTTAATTTCATTTTTGGAACAAAACAAATTGATTGTAAAATTTGTGCATATGGCAAGTAGCAATAATTTATTCACTATTGGCAACGGAGACCTTAGGGACAAGTCTAACCCTATAAAATTGGTAGTAGTTGAGCTGAAGTTGACAGTAGTATATACAGAAGTTAGTAAGGAGAATTGCATTAATTGCAATTTTATCGAAGACTTGTAACACATCTCTTTTTCTCAGACTATTTTTTATTATGTTGCTATAAAATAATAATAGTTCCAAGGACTTTCCATTCATTTGCTTAAAACGTGCTAGTGTTGATGACAATGCATGGTTTATGTAAAAATTATTGGTAACAATTTAATACTATATGAAAAATTATTTTGATTCAGTATAAGAAAAATTAAACAGACGTAATTAACAAATAATACAACGTTTATTTAATTACAAAATTTATATGAATATATTTTAATAAAATAGTTGACAAATTCAATATTATGAACGGACTTGTATCGTAAGTGAATAAAAAATGTTACAATTGGACAAGCTATTAATTTTATTAAAAACTTAACTGCTTTTTAATCTTTATTTATAAATTTGATCATTATGGCTGATCGTTTAACACAATTGCAAGATACAATAAATCAGGTAAGGTTAAAATTAAATTTTTAATTATCAACTAACAATAATTATTGATAGTTTTATTACCATTCACATATTTATATTTATAGCAAGCAGAACACTTTTGTAATAGTGTCGGTATCTTGCAACAATATTCTACACCAAGCAAATTTCCAGGTTTTGATAGAATTGGTACTCCGCAACCTCATCAATCACAAGAAGGTAAAACAAAGTTATATTATTTTGAATTACACATTTTGATACTGTGCATATTTATCAATCTTATCTATATCTATATACCTACATATTTTTAGATTACGCAGCATTGTTTGCAACTTTAATAGCAAGATGTGCTAAGGATATTGATACATTAATAGAAAGTCTTCCAAGCGAAGAGGCATCACAAGAACTTCAAGTAGCTAGTTTAAGTCGTTTAGAACAAGAAAACCAAGAAGCTGGTAAACAACTTGAAGAAGTAGTAAGACAAGGAGAAGCCTTACTTCAACGAATTCAAGCAGCTTTGCAGGATATTGCTCAAAGCCAACTAGATATGCAAAACCCAGCATCAACTGCTGTACTTAATATCAATTTAAACCCTGCAATGACCTTTAAGCAAGAAAATTTAAGTTCCACGAACTCTGTGCCTTCCAATAATGTGCACCAACTTTCAAGTTCATCTCCAAGTTCAATGAATCAATAATATAATTAATTATTTTATGTAAATTTTCGACCAGCACTTTTAATGAATTTATTATCAATTTAATTTAATTCGTAATGTTGTAATTATATTAATATAATCTGCATATTTCGTATACATAAATTATTCTTACAATATAAATATAAATATAAAAACGAATATGCATATGAATATATATGTTTTTAATATAATTTTTGTATTTCTTCAATGATATATCAATACCAACTAGATTTGTTTTATTTTTAAGTTGTTTAGTAATTTGAATATTAGATCTGAAGTTGCAGTTGATCGCATTGCTTTCAGAGAAATCTGGCGGTAATTTAAAGAACTATAAAGTATTTAAAATTAAACTATGATTATTCGGATTGTTGGAGGTTAACGTTATGTTTTGTATTAGTGTTTAATTTATATAACATACTTAACAGAGTTTATCTATTATTTTATTTTTCATAAAACAAAAGTGTTTGAAACATAATATTTGTTTAAATATCAAATACACATAATATGTGATAGTAAAGACATAACCGTGCTTGTCACACTTGTTGAATATTTGATTATAATTTATTCTATGTCATAATAATTTTTTTAAACAAAAAACTATATAATTTGTATAATACTTGTATTATTAATATCTATATATATTTATTTAGTATATTTAAGTGCCATTTTGATAAGTTATTTTCATTATAATTGATAATATAACTTTCTAAATAATGTGTTTTAATTTACTATAAAATATTATGACAAATAATGGATTTAGAAGCATCATTGGTTGAACGTTTACAAAAGCTAAGACAATGGCAGATCGAACAACAGGAACGTCTTATAAGACAGCAACAAGAACAGAGAGAAAAATTGACTCAGGAGCAGTTACGCATGTATAAAGCTTTAAGACTACCTATTCAGGAAATAGGACTGGATAATAGAACATTATGTGAAGGTAGCTGGTACGAAGATGCATGCTCAAGTATAAATACAACTGATTGTACAGAAAATAGTAATCAAGAACAATCTGCGAATGATAATAGTGAGATAAATAAGTCTAATTATACATCTTCATTTACTAATTTTAATATGAGTTCCGTTGATGAATCTTTTCAAGAAAAGCACTCTCCAACCGAATTGAATAAATCTTCAAATGTTGTTAATAAACAAAATTTAAGTAAACTCAAATATCAAATAGACGACGATAAAAATGATGTCATAAATGATTCGAGTAATAAAAATATATATATAACATCTGAAAAAAAACAAATTCATCTGATTGACAATTTACTAGAAGGAATAGAACCATTACCACCTGATATCAAAACAATAGATGAAGATAAAAGTTTTTTAATTGACGATATTCCAGTTCCATCTCTAAAGAAAGATTTTCAAACTCTACTAGAAGAGAAGTTGGAAGAATATGAACCTATACTTAACAAGGAATTAAATGATAAAATGGAAAATCAGATTAAAAGACCATTTTTAAAAAAAGGACAAGGCTTAGCTAGATTTAGAATGACTGAAACGTCAAAAAACATTCCAATTAATATTAAATCTTGTAATACTCCTGTATCGAGTAAACGATTTACTAATAAACAAATAAATCCCACAAGTAGCAAAAATGATAATATAAAAAATAAGAAGAAGCATAAGTTATCAGCAAATGTTCCTTCGAGGGAATGTACTGCTATTACTAAGGTGGCTCAACAAAAATTAAATTTAAAGAATATTCCTCCTCCACGTAAAGCTTATTTTGGAAGAAACGAGGCTGTATTATCAAATATTGAATCAAATATAAATTCAAGCATTATTGAAATAAACAGTTCTGATATTGATTTGAAAACGGAAAGAGAAATGGAAGAAGTAAGAATATTTGAACTTTTAGAAGAAAAAGCTGAAAATTCTAGTTTGTGTTCAACTTCAAGTACTGTAGTTGCATTTTTACAACAATCAACGCCTTTTAAGATAAGGCAAAAAATTAGAGATACAGAAGATAATCTGACCAATTCAATACAACAAAATATTGTTTACAAAGCTAGTCCTAGAAGACATCAATTGACTGATTCTAAAGCAATATCACCAATTCAAAAACCTGAATTTGATGTTAATTCTTTTTGGGAAACCATCCCCAGAAATAATTCACATGAGGATACAGAAAATACGCAAATATTGAAAAAACAAGGTGTAGTAACTAATGCTTCATTAAAAAACAAAAAAGCTGATCAAATGTTCATCCAAACTCACGCAGAACAACATGTACACGACGAAACGAATAGTGACGCTCAAAATTCTATCTATTCTAATGAAGTAGATGTAAGTTTACATGTTAGATTTTCTGAATATAATGAATACAAAACTATCGGATTAACTGATACTTCTAGCGTATCTAGCGAATCTTTATCTCAGAAAAACTATAACGATGAGAAAGCTTGGAGTGATTGTAGCGAATTATCGGATTCCTCCGAAACAAATATGCAATCAATAGAATGTGGAACACTTAAAACAGATGAAAACACAAGTGAAATCTGCGACTTCATCGATACATGTACAAATGAGATAAAGAAAGAGAAGATGAATCAACATGAAATAAAAGAAACGCAGGAAACTGTTTTTAAATCTGAACTTTTAAAAAATCGTTTATTAGAACTAGAAAAAGAAATAGATATTTTTCGCAAAGAAAATACAGCTTTATCTCTGCAACGTCAAAAATTGCAAGAAGACCATCGATGTTTTCTAAAACAAATAAAAGAAAAAGAATTAATATTGGAAAATGTTAAAAAAAAAATGGAAGATCGTATGCAGGAGGAAAAAAGAAAATTAGTACGTGAAAAGGCTGCACTTGAATCCAGATTACGTGATTTTCAAGAAAAGGCTCATCAAAATAAAATAGAAAGGCAACAAATTCAAGAGTTAAAAGAGCAGTTAGAAAAATCACAAATTGAGTTTAAAAGCAAAGAAAGTAAATGGAATGCGACACAAGCCAGACACAGAAGTCAAATGAGAATATTAAAATTGGAAAATATACAATTGAAGGAAGAAGTGGAACGATTAACAAAAACAAAAACAAATAATGTTAAAACTAAAAAGAAAGTGAATAAATTTTCTAACACAAAAACCTTGCATCAAATTAATAAACAGCTTAGTGAAGAAACAAAAGAAATTATAAAAAATGATTCTTCGTTAGAAGATGATGACAAAATGTTGAAAACAATGTTGGATGCTCTAAATTCAGAACATGAATATATAGAAAAAGACTATGCAATAAATAGTCATAATAATGAAGATCAAAATCATAATAGTAATAAGGATAATAATACCGATATTCCTAAACAGTATGAACAATGCATGCAAAATATTACAAAAAAACGTGATTTATATGAAAATTTATTGAAGGATGCTACATCAGATTTAAATAAATTAAAATTTGAAACAAATGGTAGTAGAAAGGATCAAAATAAAAAAGAAAATGAAAATGAAAATAACAGGTCACAAATTAATAAAGATACATGTACGAATATAAAAGATAAAGTTACACAAAATTATGAAGATGATAATAATATATTAATAACTTCTCAAAAATTACCATTAGCTTCCATTTCATCTAAAGAATTATTACATATGCAAGAAAAAACTGTTTCCCCGAAAGAACTTAGAACTAATGAACAACAAGTGCAGTGTATTGAACATCCTAATGGATGTACAGAATTTTGGTATCCAAATGGTAATGTAAAAAAAGTTTTTCCTGATAAAGGTATAACAAAAATGTTATATTATAATGGTGATGTCCGTGAAACGCAAAATGATGGAAGAGTAAAATATTTTTATGCGTCAACACGTACATGGCATACAACAATGCCAGATGGACTTGAAATTTTAGAATTTCCAAAGTATGTTAGAATATATATTTATAAAAACTTATATTATACAATAAGAAATAAGAATTATTGTTATAAGTTATATAAATATTTTGTGCAGTGGTCAAGTGGAAAAGCGTTCGCAAAATGGCATGGTTGAAATATCATTTCCAGATCGTTCGACACAAATAATACAAGTAGATGGATACGAAAAATGGGAATTGCCAGATGGAACAATTGCAGAAACCTTTGCAAATGGAGAAAAAGTTGTTATTCTACCTAATGGACAACGAGAAATACATACAAAAGATCATAAAGTAATAATAATAAAAAAAAGAAACTTACAATGAATTAAACCATTTATTTAATATTAATAATTTGTTGTCAATCCTGTTAAAAATAAAATTAAACATAGAAATATATTTTTTTTTCTAGAGACGAGAATATCCTGATGGTACAGTTAAATTGATTTATCCAGATGGTATACAAGAGACACGTTATTCTAATGGTAGAGTAAGACTTAAAGATCAAGCTGGTAATCTTCTAATGGATTGTCATTATTAAATAAAAATATATTCATATTATTGTAATACAATGATATAAGCTAAGAGTATTAAATTGAAAATATAAATTATATGATATATATAATTTTAAAATGTTACTATTTTTGTGTATGATATAATGTATAATTATTTTTATCTGGCATCAATAAAACAGCAATTGAATCTTGCATGTTAAAGCCCTGATTATCGGAACATTCTGTTCAAACAATGTTCTTGTGTGTCGAGTGTATGTATTCTACACAATTTTCTGATCAAATGAAAATATCATTTATATTGTGTCATGGTATCCAAAAAATAGGTGCTGGTGGAAACAAAGTTGCAACAGATAAGATTCCTACGGGAATATTGAAATTTAATTTTAATAAATTTATTATCGATGAGAAAGGGATATGAATTAAGAAATACCTATAATGAAAATAATAAAAGCCTAATACAAAAAGCATTGGTACAAAAGAAAATTTTAGTTTCTCGATGTAAAAAATCAGTTCCTAGATGCAAATCGATGATAGTACACTGTGAAAATAATTTTGAAGAAGTACCTTCTCACTTGGAAGCATTCAATGCTCTTAAAAAAGTATTTAAGTGGTCCGAGAAACAGAAAAAATGCAGTTACGCAAAATTACGTTTTCTTAAACAATTATACGATTTAGCTGCTATAAAAATACAAAATTCATAGACTATCATACAAACTGTATTTTGTTTCGTTCATTTGCGCTATTTTGTTTAAAGTAAATAAAATTTGACAGGATAAAAGATATTCTATTATTATAAATTTCTATTATTCGAATACTTTAGTCTCATTGTCAGCTCTGATAATCGAAATTTTTAAAACGATTTAATATGATTTAAATTAATTGTAATTTAATTGTAAATTCAAATTTTGAGCAATGAAAATGTGCCTTAGGGATTTTATAAAGTCCCCAAAATTACTAACTTGTTTAAATACTTTTTATCTTAACTATTATCCATTCAGAATACTTATCTAATCTCGAGATTAAAGATAAAGCACCTATTATTGAATATTGCTAATGGTTATTTATATTTATATTTATATTTTTGTTACTATTTTTTAACATTATGTTGAAACTTTTTACACAATTATAGTGAACTTTTTAACACTATGTTGACTTACATTCATATATGGCATTATACACATTCTTCCGCTTCCTAATAGTAAGGTTGAATTTTAAAAGATTTTATTGCATTAATTTTAGTAATGTCAGTCTTTTTACGATTTAAAAAATGGACTATACTAAGTTTAGGTGCTTTAGGTGGTACAGCATTATTTTATTATAATAAGTATAGTGATTGTGAATCTTCTTATGTATTAAACTCCTGGACAACAAATTTCACACCTTCTGTAAAATGGGATCATAACTGGGACAAGTATTTTATACTTTCATATTGTTTACATTTTTTTCTTTTCCTACTTTTTATATTAATAGATGCTATTTTTATGTTACAGGCGAGATCCGAAAAGTTTAGTGAAACCTGTGAAAATAATTAATGAAGTAGATGAAAATAAATACAATGAAGAATTTGCAGCTAAAAGATCCAAACATATAAGGCATTTGATTCTTATTCGACATGGACAATATAATACTGCGGGAAAATCAGATTCAGAAAAAGTTCTTACTGAGCTTGGTCAGTTGTTAAGAATTATTTGTTTCATTTTTCATTTTATACAGTGTTTTTAATAACTGGTGATAGAACTGAAATAAGTTTATTCTATGTTTTTTTATTTTTTCACTAATTACTGAACACTCTGTATATATTTGTTTACATTCTATGATATTTTTTATAATATACTCGTATATATATACACACATTTATGACTATTCTAAATTCATATTTACATAGGTCGGCGTCAGGCCGAAATAACTGGGAAAAGATTAGCAGAGTTAGATGTAGCCTATTCTTTAATAGTAAGATCAACACTGACAAGAGCACAAGAAACTTCTAAAATAATAGAAATGAGTCTTCCGAATGTACCAACTCAAGACGATAGTCTTTTAGCTGAAGGTGCACCTATTCCACCTGAACCTCCAATAGGCAATTGGATGTCAGAACGACATGTATGTATAATTGATATAATAATGAATAAAATAATGAATTTTATAATTTTTTAATAATCAGTAATTTGCAATATATGTAACTAATGATAAAATTTTATAAAACATTTTAGTTTTTCCAGGATGGACCAAGAATAGAAGCAGCATTCAGAAAATATTTCCATCGAGCAGACCCTCAGCAACAACAAGATACCGTTACTATTCTTGTTTGTCATGCAAATGTTATTAGATATTTTGTATGCAGGTAAATATTATGGACATTTTTTATATATATATATTGAATCTTATGTTATAATTTTTCTATAATCCAAAACAATGGATTTTGCGAAAAATATGAAATTAAAGACAATGTTAAATTAATTTAAAAAGTATAAAGTAAACATGTATTTGAACTAAAATATTTTGAATCGAAGGCCTTACTAAATTAAAAAGATTCGATTTGTAGAATTTTTAAATTATAATTTGGGTATATACAATTTTTATAATTTTCAGAGCATTACAATTTCCTCCAGAAGCTTGGATGCGTATGTCTTTAAATCATGGAAGCATTACTTGGTTGATGATATATCCTAATGGAAGAGTAACGATGGTTTGTCTAGGAGATACTGGTCATATGCCACCAAAAAACATTACAGTTAGTTAATGATAATAAATTACATAATTAAATTTATTATTTTAAAAAGCAATGTATTATTAATAGAACTTTTCAGAGGAGACGAAAGCTATTGTAAACGTTTTTATTTATAAAAATATTTATATAATTATGTACATGTAAGGACCACATCCTTTTTTTTGTTAAATGTATATATTGGACAACATATCCTGGAATGCCTTATATAATTCAGAAATCGATTGATTATTAACAATAAATATTTTTTAAGTAATTTTATTTGTCGGTACAAATTTGGAATTATAGATTTTATACAAGTAAATATATAATGAATTTTTCTGATTAAAAATTATTTATTTTTGTCTATTTATGGTTTATTTATCATTAATTTATTAAGTATAAATCTATTAATAAAAATATTTACAAGAAAAAAAATGTATATACATATACATAAATTTTTATAAAATTCAGCATAACAACGTCTTATTGTGCTCCTGCATTTCGTAGAGCTTTTCTAGCATAATATCGTTGTAAAGCTGCTTCAAATACAGGACCAACTGTTCTTTTTAACCAAATTGAAGATCTCTCTTTTTTTTTAACTATTTCAACTTGATTCTCTTGATTTTCTTTATCATCAATCTTTTTATCATCAACTTTTTGTGATATATTTTTAAGATCTTTTATATTATCTTTATTTTCACCTGAAAGTATCGGATCAGATAAAGAATCAGATTGACTATCTTGTATTTCACATTTTTGTTTCTTTTTATCTGGTTCCTTAATATCAGAGATATCGATACTTTTATCTTCTGTATTAATAATACTTTTATTTGTATTACAAGTTTCAGGCTCTATTTTGGATTCATTATCACTTTCATATGTTTCAATGACCCTTTGTCTATACTGTCTACTTTTTTTACTTTTTTTAACATTACATTTTTCATCGCTTTTCTCATTTGTCCCTGTGGTAGATTCATCATTAATAATATTTTTTGCTTCTAAAGTAACATCATCACTTCCATTCTTTTCTGAAATTTTTTCAACTTCTTCTGTACTATCAATGGTTTGTTTATATAAATGCCTATAAAATCCAGACATATCTTGTTGTTTTGTAACATCGCCAATACTTTCTAATCTACTCATATTAGCCTCTTCTTCTTCCATTTTCTTGAATTCTTCTAATTTAGCTCTATATGCAGATGTTACAAAACTTTCTTTATCCGCATACATTGTTCCTTCAGCCTCTCTTTCTTTTTGTACCATCCTCTCTATTCTATGTTCTTGTTCTTTTTTTCTTCGTTCTGCAGCCTTTAAAAAATTGTGTACATATTTTGGTTTCCTTTCTTGAACTTTAACTGTCTTAACTTGGTTTTTCGCTCCTATGTCATCGTATACTTCATCATACTGATAAATAGTTGGATCTTCTTTTAATGCCTTTTGCATGCTAAGCTTGGTTTGCTTTTTTATTTTATTTTTTTCACTTTCTGCTTTGAGAGCTTTTCTAACCCAATCGGTGCCATCATTTTCATCGGAAGAATCATCGTCCCCAAATACATTTGTTGCTTTGGGTGTAGAAAGTTGTTTTTTAGATATAATTAAACCATACCTATAATTATAACAATTATATAGGTTACAATTCTTAAATTCATATTTGATTACAAATATATTAAGATATAATATAAAAATATTTCTAACATAATTTATCTAAAAGAATTTACAATATTATTAATAATTATAGAGTGATTATAAATAACGAATATTAATAAAGTAAATTGAATTATCTTACTTTTTATCTTCTTTCTCAGTATTATCCATAATGAATAGTTCCGTATAAATATTATTATCCGTAAGTAAAAGCTTGAATTATTATTTCAAAGAAGCTCCAATTGTATATAACGATCAATGAGTTAACAAATATTTATACTGCTACTATGCATATAACATCTGAATTATGACGCAAATGCTTGCGTTCGATCTATTCGATACTCGAATCGATCGATTCAAAAAGTAGGAAAGTGTGACGACAGCAAACTGAGGTTATTCCCGCGATCCCCCACTCCTGAGAACTTTCAGCTTTCCATGACTTTCCCCGCCCACACTGTCAACGTGCAGACGTCATCAGTGTCATATACAGAATTGTACTGCGTACCAGGATGTCTTGTTGAGATGGTGGGATAGCTTTTATGGTTTCGCACAAGTTTCAACCGAAAAGATGGATTTACGCGGTGTCGTACTTTTTATTATTACTGCCACCTTTACCGTATCGCTCAATGGACTTGTATTAAATCCCATAAATGGACGAAACGAAGAATTTGTCAATTTACGTTACACTCACTATGACGATTTGCTGACTTTGTTCAATAACTTAACGAGATTATATCCGAATTTAGCTCGAGTATTCTCTATAGGAAAATCGGTTGAAGGTAGAGAATTGTTAGTCCTGGAAATATCCGAAAATGTGCAGGAAAGATCACTTGGCGAACCAATGGTGAAATACGTTGCTAATATGCATGGTGATGAATCTGTGGGTAGAGAATTGTTGGTATATCTTTCTCAACATCTTTTGCATAACTACGGGAAAGATGATAGAATTACACGACTCGTTAATAGAACCGATATTTTCCTTATGCCATCTCTAAATCCTGATGGTTTTGAAAAGTCGCAGGTATTTTTTTTCTTACTAATCTATTACTAAGCTTTAAGATATTTTTTTTTGCTATAAATTTTGTAATAATTTAACTATTTATGTTCTAGGAAGGAAAATGTGACTCCAAACAAGATTATTCTGGTAGAGAAAATGCTAATCATGTTGACTTAAATCGTGATTTTCCAGACCAATTTGATAATAATATTAAGATAGGCATTAACATATTACAAGGACGACAAGATGAGACAATTGCTATGATGACATGGATTGCCAATGAACCATTTGTTTTATCTGGTAATTTACATGGGGGTGCTGTAGTTGCTAGTTATCCATATGACTCTGGGTAACTACGATTTAACTACTTTAATATTATAATTTTAAATGTTTCATAATACACATACATATATTGAAAAGGAATTAACTTAACTATTTTGGGGAATTTTATATTTTCTGTTATTTGATATTTAATCAAGATTTATATAGATATAATTAATTTTATACATTATGATTAACAGTATTCCCAAATCCTGCTGTATTGAGAGTATAAGTCCAGATAATGAGTTATTTAAACATTTGGCTCATACGTACGCAGATAACCATCCACGTATGGCAGCTGGTAATGCTTGTCCACCTGAAAAATTTCCAGGAGGTGTAACAAACGGAGCATATTGGTAAGTGACTTAACTGTTTAAATATCTTTATCTGCTTTTCATTATTATTTTATTTCTTATCTTATTAGGTATGAGGTTGTTGGTGGTATGCAGGACTATAATTATGCCCGTTCTAATGCATTTGAAATAACATTTGAATTAAGTTGTTGCAAATATCCTCCCGCTTCAGCGATGCCAGGCCATTGGCAATATAATAAAGAATCTCTTATTAAATATTTGGAACAATCTCATATTGGAATAAAAGGTTTATGATTGCCCTATTTATATCTATTAAAGAATCTAACAATCCAAATTTTAATTGTAGGTCTGGTTAGAGATACGGAAGGACAACCTATTGAAGATGCTAGAATTGTAGTTCATGGAATAGATCATAATGTTACAACTACAAATCGTGGAGAATATTGGCGTTTACTACTGCCCGGTACTTATTCTGTTTATGCAACTGCATGGGGGTAAGATCATATTAATTATTATAATTATTTCTATATTTAATTATATTAAAAGTCTGGTATTTATTGCTATATAATATAGATCAAATTTTAAACAACATGATTTTCAGAACATGCTATTTTATATGCTATAATATAAAATCATATATATACATACATATAAAATTCTAATACTTATGTTTTTCATTTTTTATAATTGCAGATATAGGCCAAGTGAACCAATAAATGTAACTGTAAGACAGAGTAACCCAACGATCGTTAACTTTACATTGATACGACGATCATTTGATGAACAAGGTAAACGTGAAACAGATTATCCACAAGTCCTACCACTTCTTAGTCGTAAACCTGCACTTTATAAAGTCATTATGTCTTACGATGATGACGAGTATTAACATTTTTCTAACTTAAGCAAATATTTTAATTTTTTTTACTTATTTTAATTAAATTTTTAAAAAATTAAATGTAATCACTTTTTTGTTTGTTAACTAGTTATATATTTTTAATATTTTGAGGCCAACTAGTTATTATATTAAGTATTACGTTAAACTTTACATTCAAGTTTATAATTTATTATTATTTTTATATGCTTTTTATTTTACAGCCTTCAATTTATATCGCATTTAAGTTTATTTACACGTTGATGATTTTTATTGAATCAAGATCAATTTAAAAGAACAAATGTAAACATTTAGTAGAATATATAACACGATAACTTATATCGTAAAATTTAAAAGACATAAGCACAAGGTATGGAGAAAAGGATCTATTAAAACAAATAGAAAAATGGAATTGGAAAGAAAAAATATTTTAAAAATGATTTATATATATTTATATAATATAAACTTTTGATTATATTCAAAATTATATAATTTACGAGATATATATATGTAGTTATGCAAAGTATAATATGTCTCATTATTGTTATATAATGCGCGGTTATTAAATACGTTACATCTTTTCAATCTATGACCGCACTTCCTAGTTTTTCTTTTACATTTTATATAATATGTTGTTATTACATGACAAATGAACAATTTTTAGTATTTTTATTTTATTATCAATTATCAACTTTATCGAAGACTTGGTAGAAATGAAATATTGTTTCAATTCTATTTAAAAACGCATATGTGCATATATGAACAAAATTTAAAATTTTATTTACACTATAAGATTGTTATATATAATATGTTTTGTATTATTTCGTAAAGGAAGAGATCTGTTTATTTCAGCGTATAAAATTAAATTCGGAAATGAATATAATATATTTTAAGGTGTTTGTAACATAACAATTTTTTCATATGAATTTTATGAATGTCTAGAGACGAATGTATTTTTACAAAGTCATTACAGTTTCATTTACATTGCTACATATGATTTAATGTGTTCAGACTGTAATACACAGACAAAAAATAAACTATTGTATTTGTCTCAAATAACGAGTCAATTCTTCAATATTCACACCAGCCTATTCCTTATAATTTTACCTTGAACACATTATGTTATGTTTATATACATATATCTTATTCTTTTATAATTTTTTAGATTATATTCTCTATACCTTGTGTTTTATATCGTATGTAGATAAATTTTAAATAATTGTTTTCTTTTTACATAATTTTATATATTTTATAAATAATTTAAGACTCTTATTCTAGATTATATTACAATATATTCATATCTTAAGATCGTTCTATTTATTTGATACTTGATAATTCAATAAAAATTATCTAATTATTTTTTTTTATAAAATATGTTTATAATTTGTGTATATATAATTTTATACATATATATATTTGAACATAATGTTTTTTATGTACACATTTATAAACAGTTGTAGCAAACCAGGAGGAAGTAAAGGAATTTATAAGATCAACTGACGAATATGGCTTCTTACATAATACAGAATTTAAACATCATAATTATGTTGCAATGGAAAAATATTTAAAAGAACTCAATGAAAATTATCCAAATATTACACGTCTCTATAGTATTGGCCGTTCAGTCGAAAATCGACAACTTTATGTTATGGAAATTACAAAAGATCCTGGAAAGCATAGTTTGAGTAAACCAGAAGTCAAATATATTGCAAATATGCATGGAAATGAAGTTGTTGGAAGAGAGCTTTTATTATTGTTATTGAAATATTTGTGTGAAAATTATGGAACAGATAAGAGAGTAACTCGAATAGTTAGTACAATCAGATTACATATATTACCAAGTATGAATCCTGATGGATATGAGATATCAAAAGTAGGTGATGTATTTGGTATAAAAGGAAGAGCTAATGCGAAAGGTGTGGACTTGAATAGAAACTTCCCTGATCTCTATGAAACGAATGAAGTAAGTTTCATTATTTATTGAATTCGTATATTGTGGCCTCTAAATCACATGTTCTTTCAAATATGTTTTTTATTTCGTGTAACAATAAATATGAAATATCTATTCTAGTTTAATAAGGAACAGGAACCTGAAACTAAAGCAGTAATGAATTGGATAGCAAAAATACCATTTGTACTCTCTGCAAATCTTCATGGGGGTGCTTTAGTTGCCAATTATCCATATGATAATGGACCAGAACCTGATTCTAATCTTCCAAATCCAAGTCCTGACAATGATGTATTCAAAATGTTAGCACTGACATATTCAAAAGCTCATCCTCAAATGCATCTTGGTGAACCTTGCCCACCAGTAACAAGTAAAACAATGGGTATTAAAAATTTACTGGAGGAACGATTTCCGGATGGAATTACTAATGGTGCAGCATGGTATCCTGTATCAGGTGGCATGCAAGATTACAATTATCTTCATAGCAATGACTTCGAATTAACTTTAGAAGTAGGATGTACTAAGTTTCCAAATGCTACTTATTTACCTGAATATTGGTTGCTAAACAGAGAACCTCTTTTAAAATTTATTGAAATGGTGAGATTATATATATAATAATATATTATTAATATAATTAACTTATTTAATCATACACACACACACACACAAATATTTGTCGATAAAATTACAGTCACGTAAAGGTGTACATGGTTTAGTTCGCTCTCCTATCGGCAGTCCTGTACCTCACGCAAAGATATCTATAGAAGGAATTAAGCATGATATATATACTGCAGAAAGTGGTGATTACTGGCGTCTTTTAGTACCCGGAGATTACAATATTACAGTAAGTGCTCCAGGATATGAAACTCTTACACAAAATATAACTGTATTGGAAGGTGATAATCCTGAAGATT